TATATATATATATATATATATATATATATATATATATTAAGTTTAAAAGTTTAAAATTCAACCCTTATACTATTACAATATTATAAGTTTATATATATATATATATATATATATATATATATATATATATATATATATATATATATATATATATATACCGTTACTAGGCCTCATTCATGAAACCGGTCTATAGGGGGGGGGGGGGTAAAAGGTTACCGCCTATAAGATGGTGGTTTAATGGGTGTTCACTCTCAGCCACCGCTTCCTTGACTGGTGGAGGGTCATTCGTCGAATAGGTACGATATGACATTAATTTTCATTAAAACTATACTGATAATTATAATGTAACTAAACCTTTTATTAATTTCCCAATCTTAGTTACTTAGGAAAAATGTGAAAATGCTGCTATTCCATGAAATTGCACTTTGCACTTTGCTAAGTCGTTAGTGGAGGGTGTGTGGTTAACCGACACTAATCTGGGGCCGGCAAGGGTGGAAAAGGGTAGCTTGATGTTAATCATAGATCAATGGAGTGTGTGTGGTTAACCGGCACATTGATTAACTAATTTGTATCATAAAGAATACCAAGCACATTTGCATGGTTATTCACACCTTGTTTCTGATCCTCGGCATCCCAGTCACAAAGTTAAAGGTCACAATCGAGATTTTAACATGCCATTGAAAAGTTCAACGAATCTCAAAAGAATCTAGGAGTTTCAATAAAATTAAAAGTTAATAATCAATTTCATTTTTCATGGTGGAAGTTGGTAAATCGTCATTTACCTACCATTAAATATTTTGCAATTGGATTATGACATCTCTTTTCCGAATTATAAAATATTGTGTTAATTCCTAGTCTTAATATTTCATTTGGGTGTTATATTAAGGATTCTCATCTAATCTAAACTTTGTTCTTTTCTTTTCAAATGTATATCCCAAACAATGCTTCAGGCTCCAACCCTTCTGGCTCATTCTCCCTCATGAATTTGGTTGGGAGAACTATCTTTGATGGGTAAAACTTTAACGATTGGATAAGAAACATTCGTATGGCCCTTCACTATGAGGACAAATAATATGTCATGGATAAAGAGCTGATGGATATTGATGAACAAACTGCTACTCCTGCACAAATCGAGGAATACATGGTTCATGAGAGGGACGCGACAAAGGTGTCATGTATAATGATTGCTACCATGACTGCTGAGCTTCAAAAGTCCTATGAGGACTTCCGGCCCTTCGAAATTCACCAAGATTTGATGGAAAGGTATCATCAAAGTGCTCGGCAGGAGAGGTATGAGATCATTGCCCCCATGATCACAACCAAGATTAAGGATGGAGAGTCCATCATGACCCACTTGCAGAAGATGCAGAGATATGTAGATCGCTTGCTGAAGTTGAATGTGAACTTCGATGAAGATTTGGCCATTAATATCATCCTACACTCGTTTCCTTCTTGTTATGATCAGTTCTGCATGAATTATCATATGGAAAAGGAGGACGTCACTCTTAGAAAGCTTCAAGGCTTTCTAAGAATTGTAGAAAGCCACTTGAAAGGCAAGTCGGTTGTTCCTAATCGTACTACTATTGCTGCTCCTATTCTGGAAATTGGAAATGGGAAAGGGAAGAAGAGGAATGCTGCTTCTAAGATCCGTAAGGGAAAGTCTCTTGATGGATCCTCTTCCAGTGGGACCAAAGCTGGTTTTGCTAATCTCTCTACTAATCCAAAGGATGCAGAGTGCTTCCGTTGTCATAGAAAGGGAACTGGAAACAAAGCTACCCCAAATACTTGCAGGACATAAAGGATGGGAAGATAGAGCCCAACTTTGCAGGTATTTACACTATTCATTCTAATAACTCATCACATGCTAATTCTTGGGTCCTTGATACAAGTTGTGGATTTCACATTTGTTATGATTTGCAGGGACTAAAAAAAAGTAGGGATGTGAAGCACAAGAAGATAAACTTGATCATGGGAAACAGGAAAATATCGACTGTCACCAAGATTGGAGTTTATTCTTTATTGCTTAGTAGCAGGTTAGAATTAGAATTGAATAATTGTTGTTACTCATCGGATATAGCGAGAAAAATTATTTCCTTTCATAGTTTGTATAAACAAGGTTTTACCTTTTCTTTTAAACATGAAATTGGTAGTATTAATGCTTATTATAATGGTACATTTTATTTTCAAGCATAAACTTGTAATGGTATATATGAAACTATGATAGTTGTAGATAACCTAGAAAAATAATGTGTTGAATATTGATTCGTCCAAATTTTTGGACAAGGCATGCTTGTGGCATTATCGTCTTGGACATGTCAACCAGAAGCGTATAGCCCAACTCCAAAAGGATGGAGTCTTGGAGTCATTTGATGTTAATTCGGATGACACTTGTGAATCTTGTTTGCTTGGAAAGATAACCAAGTCACCATTCACTGATACTTGTGAAAGGGGAGAAGGTTTGTTGGATCTCATACACACTGATGTGTGTGGACCCTTCAGAACAGCCACAAGGGATGCTAACCGCTTCTATGTGACTTTTACGGATTATTACAACAGATATGTCTATATCTACTTTATCAAGCATAAGTCAGAAACCTTTGAAAAGTTCAAAGAATTTAAGCAAGTAGAGAATCAATTAGGCAGGAAAATAAAGATGTTGCAATCTGATTGAAGAGGAGAGTATCTTAGTATCGAGTTCCTAGACTACCTTCAAGAATGTGGAATTGGTTCACAGTTGACGCCACCTAGGGCATCGCAGTTGAATGGTGTGGATGAGAGGCGCAACAAAACCTTGTTGGATATGGTTCGTTCCATGATGAGTCGAGCTTCATTACCTTTCTCATTCTGGGGGTATGCCTTAGAGACCGACGTCCATATCCTTAATCTAGTCCCTACTAAGAAGGTTCCCCAAACACCTCATGAGATGTGGACAGGGAAGGTCCCTCGTTGGATCACATCAAAGTTTGGGATTTCGAGGCTTTCGTAAAACACGAGACTCACAACAAGCTCGAACCTTGTAGCGAGCCATGTATTTTCATCAGGTACCCATAGAAGTCCTTTGGATATCTCTCCTATAGACCGAGTGAAAATGTTGTCTTCGTTGCGAGGAGAGGAGTTTTTAGAGAGAGAGAGAGAGAGAGAACTCATATGCCAAGAGGACAGTGGGAGGAAAATTGACCTTAAAGAGCTTCAAGAGTTAAGTGATGAAGGAACCTCAAACACTAGTGCTCAACGTGAGGAGGAAACTCCTTTTGAACCAATTGACGACTCCGTACGTCTGAGACATTCTAGTAGGGTTAGTGTTCCACCTGTGTTATATGGATTTCATATAGCATCTGAAGATTATACATTCATTAGTGATGGCACATTGATAAATCTGGATGAATCTAACAACTACAAGGAAGCCATGGCAGGCCCTGAGTTTGCTAAATGGAAAGAGGCAATGGACAACGAGATTCAGTCCATGTATGACTATCAAGTTTGGAACTTGTTTGACAATGTACCGGGTCGTAAGACAGTCAGGTCCAAATGGATCTTCAAGAATAATACTGACATTAATGTGAAAGTACACACATATAAGGCGCGGCTAGTTGTGAAGGGCTTTACTCAAACTCAGGGAGTTGACTATGATGAGACCTTCTCACCAGTAGCGAAGATTAAACCTATAAGGGTTATGCTAGCCATAGCTGCATTTCATGATTATGAAATATGGCAAATTGATGTCAAAACCGTTTTCCTTAATGCAAAGTTAGCTGAAGATGTTTAAATGTGTCATCCAGAGGATTTTCTCAATGCAAAGTACCCTAATAGAGTGTGTAAGCTTGAGAAATGCATTTATGGATTAAAACAAACATCACACAAATGGAATCTTTGTTTTGATGAGGAATTCAAAGACTTTGGATTTTCGAGAAGTGAGGATGAGTCTTGCGTATGTGTCAAAGCAAGTGGGAATATAGTAAGCTTCCCAGTGTTGTATGTAGATGAGATACTTCTCATAGGAAATGACATCCCAACCTTGCAGGAGGTTAAGTCCTGCCTTGGGAAGCCTTTTGCTATGAACAAACTTTGAGAAGCTGCCTATATACTAAGGATAAGGATATTGAGAAATAGGAGTAAAAGACTAATATGACTTAGTCAAAGTACCTACTTGGATAAGGTGTTGAAGCATTTCAGCGTGGAGAACTCCAAGAAAGGTAACTTACCTATCCAAAGCAATACCAAATTGAGTAAAACTCAAAGTTCGAGTATAGACACTGAGATAGCAGAGACGAGCACTACTAGAAAACTGGCCTTTAATGACGCGCAAACAATGACATTCGCCGATAGAGGGCGCGCATTTGTGGGTGCCCTAAAAAATAGTGTCAGTTTTGCAAAATTTGAAGGATAAAAGACACACATTTGTGCGTGCCCTAAAATTAGTGTTAGAAAAGAGAAAAAAGGAAATGCGGAGGGCTCCTTTTATAAAATGTGGGTCATGTAAGTATGTCGCTTTATAAATTTTTAATGAAACACGCCTTTTAGGCGGGAAATGATCGATCGACAAAAATCCCCAAAATTTTGGAAGACCCGCTCATTCATTCCTCTCCACTTGCGGATGATCTTCATTTTATCCCTTCCTTCTCTCTGTAAAACCTAGCAGCCGCCACCACCAGAAACATGGTTTTATGTTGGCTTCGTTCTGAGTTGTAAGAACGAGAGTCTGATCCTTCATTAATAGCTAAAGGGGGGAAATCCCCCAAAATTTTAAAGTACCCCTCTCACTCCTCTTCACCTCTACCCTACTCCATCTACAACGACTCCTTACGTTTACAAACCCTATAATTAAAAACGATTTTCCATACCTCACGAGTGCTTTCCAGTCAACGACCTGATCAGCCTCATCAGCAACCTCGGTCTCACCTCACCTTATCAGCGAGCTGAGGCTTACCTCTACACACATGCGACTACAACTCTTCAAATCACCCTAAGCCCTACCCTTTCTCTCTATTTAGGAGCCAGTAATGGCGGCAAAGAAGATCTACAATGAAGACCAACTGGTTCGATTTCTCCCTAAAAATGGTGCTTCTCCTAAATCCGAGTTTACTTTTCACTCTCTGAGTTTGTTTTCTCCCCAATTGATGCATCCACCTTCTCATCTTGCTCCCTCTACCAGGTTTTCTCGTCTCTCTCCTCTATAGATGAAGTTTGTCGGAGATGTGAAGGGAGTAACCGAAGGAAACCCTAAAACTGGTACAAATCCAACTTCACGCTTCCATCTCTGATTTTTTTTCATTCCATTACCTTTATGAGACTATCTTTCATTTCATTTCAATCTGTTTATTCCTTCTTTAGAATCTGTGATTGTTCTTTGTTTGAAGATAACTTCCTTTTTCTTAGCTCTTTTGATTTGATTGTATGCAATTTCAGTCATTTGTTTCAATCTATAAATGCTAACTTTCTAAAAAACATATTTTCTTGAACTAATGATGTAGAAGCTAAGCAAAACAGTATAGTCGAAAGTCTGAAAACATATTTAAAACGATATGATGACCTTTTATTTTGAAGTTACCTAAGTTCTTCCGTGTATTCCACACAGTTCACAACTTATTTTTATACAGGAACCTTGATTTTATAAGAAATAGTATCTTTATTGGAGTTAATCGCAAGTGGGTCTGGGGGGCAAACAAAAGGTCCCATACTAGCTCTGATGAAGAGGAGGGAACCCGAGACCCAAATGTTGCTCCCACTGATTTTACTAGTCAGGAAGCTAAGGTATGGGAGGCAAAATCTAAAGCTACTGACCACTTTTAATGTTGTTGCACAAAATTACAGGAATACCCTCCTGAATTAAAATGGACATGGCCATGACTAGGAACATTGTGTAGAGTGAGGATCTTAAGGTAAAATTCACTATGGTGATGAGTTTTTTTACCAGAAATGCCCCTGCACATGGTCAAGCTTTCCTTTCAACCTTCCTTCTATATATCCAGAAAAAAATCATTTAACATGTTGAATAGTGTAGAACTTGTGAAATATAAGTTATTAATTAATCATGAATCAGTGCTAACACCAACTTTAATATCAGTTTCAATTCCTATGATTAAAATGAGATACATTTTATTTATACTTCAGTTTCTCATGATTAACATTCAATTGCATTTGATCACATATATTCTTTTAAGATTCCAAGATAGTCATGGTGGCTTCATGTGGTGTGCCGGTGTTGGCAGAATCAACAGGTGAAGGTACATTTAGTGTGCTATAATTCTTTTTTTTTTTTAATTTCTTTTATTTATTTTTGAAACTTAGAAGCTATTTGGTTTGAATATTCATGTTAGCTTTTACAAATATGTTGATGAGGTAAGTTTTATTTTTTTAAACCCCTATATTAACCATCACAATAATTGTTGTAATATGCTTATCATGTGTTTTGGATTTTGTATTATCTTATAGGCAGCATATGAGCGTATAAAGGCTAGTGTGGAGCCAAATCTTAAACAATATAAACTAATGGTGTTGTCTTATTAGCTTCTTAGCCATTTCTCTGTTTTTTTAAATTTAATTTTAGGTTGTGAAGGTGGCAGATTTTGGGGTTGCCCGGTTTGTGAGTCAAGGGGGAGTGATGACAGCAAATACTGGAACATACAATATTTGAAGATATTTCCTTTTTCACTGATAAACCCTAAATAATTTGTGAATCATCCTCTAAACTCTAAATTTACCATGATGAATGGAGCTACTTATGTATTGTCGTGGTTCGCAGGTTATAAATCATCAACAATATGATGAAAAGGCGGATGTTTTTAGTTTTGCGATTGTTTTATGGGAGCTTGTGATAGCCAAGGTAATAATTAAATACACAATTTTACTTATTATCATACATATAGAGTTAAGAATGATCTGAATATGAGGTTGTAGGTTCCTTATAAGAAGATGACACCATTGTAAGCAGCCTTGGGAGTAAGACAGGTTAGCATTTCCATTTGATTAGCATTTGGATTTGGATATATCATATATGAGAGAGAATGCATAACATGAGAATGTGCATGAATATAAATATTGCAGGGATCCATTAGAAGAGGATGCTGAGACGCTCTTCTCACCATCGTTCATCTCCAAAATATGGGGTTAGGATTGATAGAGACAAACAAAGGGGTACCCGTGAAACAAGAGACAGAGATAGGGATAAAGATAGGAGCAGGGAGGATAGAAATGGAAAGGGTAGAGATAAAGATAGAGAAAGATAAAGAGACATAGGTGGTGATAGGGATAGGGAGAGGGATAGAGTGAGGGTAAAACGGGAACATGGATCTAAACCTGAGAAAGAAAGGGAAGATAGAGATCAAGAGAAAGAGAAAGAACATGAAAGACCACATCGAAGTGGAAGCAAGATCAGAAAGACATGGGAGTGTAAGGGACAGGGAAAAGAGCCATGATAGAGAGGTTAAAGATAAAGAAAGAGAAAGAAAAAGAAAAACAAAAACAAAAAGAAAGGGAAATTAGAGAACCTGATCGTGATTGTGAAAGCAGGTATTTTTTTGATGTTCTTGTTCTCTCTTTACTTTCTGCATGTATTGATAGTATGTGATTTATGCTTTGTGGCAAGTATCTCTCTTTACTTTGACATGAATAATTATTAATACACCAATAACTTGTTTAAACAAACAGAAGAGTGTATGACAATAGAGGTAGCGTGAAATGTTCAGATACCAGTAATGGCCCACCATATTCCGGGTAACAGTTGTTTTCCCTGGGCTAATAGAGACATCAAATACACCTGCTACAAGCACAACATCCAAAAGGTTAGTTTCATATTATGTTCCATTACCTGCTGCTAAAATAATGCCTGATATTTTTTATAAAGGGACAAACTCCAACAAACTATGCCCATTGTTTCATATTAGGTCCTTATGGGTTGGCAATAGTAGGTTTATAGGTTAAGTCAACTTTAAAATGTTGAATCTTCTATAGCCACAAAAATACTTGTTCAAGGACCTAATGCGGACAAAAAAAGTTCCTGACTAATCTGGGACAATAGGTATAGTTTGTTGGAGTTTTTCCGACTTTACCCCTGTTATAAATTCAATGGCATGTTGATTATTTTGTATCGTAGATAGATAAAATCTGATGAATACTAGGATATTTCTGTCTAGGATTGAACTGCACATGCACTCTTCTAGTAGAATTTACTAGAATTATATGTACAATATATAACAGTCTCCCACTTGGTAATGAATTGTTGCTTCCAAAACAAAAAAAAAACTATCATAAGATGTCAAAATCAATTGCTAAAGCAACCATCTGTAAGTTTTACTTGCAAACACAGTTTATTAGACCACAAGAGTAAGCTTCAAATTGATCATAAAGTTGAGTAATATATAGCAGTCTCCCAATTGACTTTTTTTAGATTCTTTATGATTTGTATTTAGTTTAATCTTTTATCCAAACCAAATTATCCTTGAAAGGAGTTATTAATTATCATCATTTTTGGCGCATCTTGTGAAATTGTTCATAGTTGGGCTGTTAATTTTCATGTTTGTTTTCATTTATGCAGGTAACAATCTTGTTGAAAGGACTTATGTATCAGATGTTAATGGTAACAAGTTTAACACTCGAGTCCATACGATTAGATGTTAACGGTAACAAGTTTAACACATGTGTCTTTGTTATACATACAAATTAAATGCAATGGATTGTATTTTTTGTATATGGTATTTTACTTTATATTATGCAATGGATTGTATTTTTTGTATATGGTATTTTATTTCTATTATGAGAGATTAAATGCAATTTAATTTATAAATTCATATATATATATATATATATATATATATATATATATATATATATATATATATATATATATATTAAAAAAATAAAAATAAAATTACGATACACAAAAATGTGTGCCGTCTTCATTTATGACATGACATTTCTTGACTGGGGTTTCCTTGATACGCGTTGCGTGTCATAAACACGCGCGTCGTAAGGTTTCGACACGCAAATGTGTGTCGTCTTCCTCTATGACAGGGCCTTCCTTGATACACATTGTGTGTCATAACCGCGCGTCGTAAATGCGCGTCGTCTCTCTTTATGATAGGGCCTTCCTTGACTCACATTTGCGCGTCGTCTGAGCATTTTACGACGCGCAATGAGCGTCGTAAAAGGCCTTTTTTCTAGTAGTGGAGTTGAGTTCCATATGCTTCCGTAGCTGGCTTAATCATGTATGCTATGACTTGTACTCGCCCTGATGTGGCCTTTACTTTGAGCATTGACAACAAATATCAAGGGAATCCTGGTAGAGCTCACTGGACTACAGTGAAGAACATTCTTAAGTACCTGCGGAGGACTAAAGGTTGGGTTCTTACCCTTGGTGGGAGTGATGACTTAAGAGTGACAGGGTATTGTGATGCCGGTTTTCAGACCGACAAAGATAATTTGTGCTCTCATTCAGGCTGAGTCTTTACCCTAAATGGAGGAGCAGTAACATGGAAAAGTTCCAAGCATGAGACTGTAGCTGATTCAATGTGTGAATCAGAGTACATAGCAGCGAGCGAAGCATCGAAAGAGGCGATATGGTTGAAAAACTTCATCGGAGACCTTGGAGTTGTGTCATCCATAAAGGAGCCTATGGAGATTTTCCGCGATAATGAAGGCACAATTACCTTATCCAACGAACTGAGAGATCATGGTAGATCCAAGCATATTGACAAGAACTACCATTTCATAAGATATCAAGTAGAAGGACACCTCGTTGTGAAGAGGATGTTGTCAGAGGACAACCCGAAGGGACTGAGTAGGGTTTAGTGAGTTGATAATTATTTTGATACTTGTAATAGCTAAATTGTAATTGACATTTGATGATTGAATAAAATGAGTTTTATTTATAAGTTAAGTTATTGTCTTGTGTTAATTATTTACTATTGTTTCACTTTTGCTTGTTTTGACTTCTAAAATAATAAGATTATTCAAACTATCCGCAGTCAATCATACCTTTCAAGTTGGTTATGAGGTAAGATTGTCATGAATTTGGCTTGTAGATTGTCTAAGGTGTTAGACATAGCAAAAGTATGCTACAACGTTCATGAGTGCTCCTGAAATAAGATTTGAGTATTCGATTAAACTCATGCTCACATAAATCACTTCATGGAATTGATCACGAGTGTTGACTAGGAGTTGGTTGTGCATTGATGATACGAAAACGCATTAGTAACTTGATGTTATAAAACGTATCGTTGTGCATGATTTAATGAGTAGTTAGTACAAGCATATAATGTCAAATTTTGTATGTTTCTTTTATCCTAAGAGGATTAAAAGCGATATCTTAGGCCCTTTGATGATTTTGTTTTGACTTATGTGTCGGGCCCGGTCAGAACTAAATTGATGTGTTCAGTTATGTTCTATGTCAGACAAATCGGAAATCGGGAAACAAACTGCAGGACAATAAGTCTGACTATGTTCCATGTATTTTTCCGCATGATCTAAAGGACACGTCACTGACTAGGTCAAAGTTCGACAGTGGCTTTGGAAAGCTACGACTGCTAATTAGATCCTGAAGTTGCATTGGCAGTTATAGTTATTAGACTTATCCAAGTGGGAGACTGTTGGATTTAGTGTCTAAGCCCATAAATATAACTGCAATGTACTTGACCCGATTGTAGCATGGTCCTTTTGGGTTACCCTCACCAGTGCAATTTGATAGGATGGACTTTGAGAATTAGGCTATTTGTGATTTATTAATATATTATAAGTATAATATACTAATTGAGAAATCGTATTATTTAATTAGTATTGATAAATAATTGATTTGGAATTAATTTATTGATCAAAAGAGACTAATTAAATATACAGGGACTTATTAAGTAAATCATTGATTCTTATAGTGTGGGCCAAAGATCCATGGTTAATTAGGAAGAGCTAAACCAACATGGATAGTCCATGAAGGTTTAACCCATGGAGCCTAAGTAATATGAAGGGTCATGGTGCATTAAGGTTTGCATTGATGAAACCCTAGCATTTGTAACACTATAAAAGCACACCCCAAGAGCCAAAATCGGTTGCCCCATTCATTCTAAGAGAGTGATATTGATTTTGTGCTAACTAGCTTAATCTCTCAAGTCTCCTCTTGCATTTGGTGTTTGTGACAAATTGGAGGCATCACACTTGAGGTGGTAAAACTTTCTAAGGCCAAGAACTACAACTACATAAGAGGTATTCATCTAACCATGAGTTTTGTATTGTATATCCTCCATTGTATGCTACTTAAGATGTATGCTTTGGAAAATTGAAAATACATGTATAATTAGTGAAAACATAGATCCAAAGCATCTAGAGTTTCATGTGCAGCATAGGAGTGTTATGGTGTTTAAAACCCAACAACCCTTTCCAAGGTGACACCTTTAGGAGTACCATATCTCCGACCTAAAAATCCAAATCAGATTGGCACCTATCTGTATAGCTCTTCTATCGACTCATCGTGGTCTTCAATCTCCCGTGCATCTGTTGGATCAATTCAGTAGTCAAGAGGACCACCTCCATTCTACCCATGACTTGCTTACCGACCTCATCCCTACAAATCGGGTTCTGACACTTCCTCCCATAAAGCATCTCAGAAAGAGGTCGATCGATATTGGCTTGGTAGTTTTTGTAAAAAAACTCAGCCAATAGGAGATACGTATCCCAGCTACCACCGAAATCCTACACACAAGCCCGCAACATATCCTCCAAAGTCTGGATAGTTCCCTCACTCTACCCATCAGTCTGCGGATCAAACGTTGTGCTGAAGTGAAAACGAGTACCCAATTCCTCATGAAACTGCTTCCAAAATATGGAAGTGAAATCCACATCCCACTCTGGGACAACTAAAACTAGAACTCCATGCCGTGCCACAACCTCTCGGATATACATGTCGGCTAACTTCTCCAAATAGATGCTCTCCTAAATTGGAATAAAATGTACACTCTTTTTCAACCAATCTACGATGACCCAAATCGAATCCACCCTCGCGTCATTCGTGGCAACTTCTTGACGAAGTCCATCATGATCTCTTCCCATTTCCAAATGGGAATACTTAATGGCTCCATCTTGCCCTGAGGTCACTAATGCTTGGCCTGGACTTTCCTACAAGTCCAA